GTTGTTTGGCGGTTGTGGGAAATGCGGAGAGAGATTTGCTATGCAATGAAGGAAGAAAGAAGATAAAGTGATGTATCTATAGGGCGTCTTCTGTACGTGCCATAAAGTTTATCCAGTATTAAAGTTTAATCCAGATCTACAATGCGCTTGCGCGTTGGCAGCGACCAGGATCAACTTTTAATGCACTTTTGGACCAGGCTTTAATATTTAGCTCATTTTTAATCCTGCACATGCGCGGAAGGGACAAGTTAATCCCACCAATCATGTACTGTTACGTCACGTGCCCGTCATGAACTTCACGGATGCCATCCCTTGAGTTGCCAATCAAAGTTATTTTCGGCAATAACATCGATCATCTTAGAATTTTCATACTTAGTATTTATTAAGAAAATGAAATTGTATACATTTACACATATGGTCAAATATTTTGATAATGGAAATAACTCATGGTAATGAATAGAAAAAAAAAAACAATACAATCCCACGAGGAATCTTTGAAGTTCAGAGGCTGCGGGCATGGAACATATTTCCAGGTTAGTGAAACAAAAATTATATGATCAGGGTCTCAAAAGCTGACGTTTTAAATCAAATATAAACCAGTGTTTTAAAGAAGAATTATGTGCTGTTTTTCTTAACTACTTTACTACAAATATAATAAGTGTACTTTTCAATGGACCTCCTGAAGAAAACATGTTTCCCTCCAACACGATTCAACGCAGCAAAGAGCTGTCCGAGGAAACTGTGCGATGGATATTAATTGGTGAATGTCATTTTTGTACTTGTGTCATTGAAACAAGGATTGGTTTTATACTATAAATATCAGATCGCTATCATGGAAAAATATAATATTTCATAAATAATCATGCTTCCCTTATCAGTAAGCCTGCTTGTGCCTCGTAATTATCATATGAAGATCAACCTGCATCTTGAGTGACTGACTACAACTTTCTATAACAATCACCTTTTCTTTAATCTATAAAAAATTAATATCAGTTGTCAGAAAAATCTTTTAACAATGTAGTGTCTGAATGCAAATTACAAGGTTTATTTATCCAAGTAAATTTTATATCGGACTGCAAATATTTAGGTAATATCTTTAATACTGTCTTCTACACCATGTGCGTAGGGACATGAAGGGTGAATGTTGAATAGATATCTTTTGGATGATTTTGTTGCTTATTTACAGGTATGAGTGCACGACTTGCTCCAAACTCTACCCTACACAACATGCAACAGTTATGTGTGAAGAGAACATTGCACAGAATTTTTTTTCAAAATACCACAGATTATTCAGCAGTAAAAAGACAACATACCTCAGCTCCCACCCTTTAGATCTGCAAAACCTATTCCCACGCCCAGAAAAACGAGACCATGATCTTCACATCAACAGCAAAGGCCAGAACCATCACTATATCACGGACCAGGAACATCACAAGAATTGATAGAAATTTAAAGAGGCAGTCCATGAACGTGATTCCAAACAAATTGTATTTGAAACATTATTATGAAACAGATAATCTTGAAGAAATGTGTACAGGAAATAGAGGTACGAACTTTCTTACTTTTTGATGTTAGTCTTAGTTTTCAATTTTGGGAACATTGGGAGCCATAAAGCATTGATTAATGATATGAATAAGTTTTTAATACCTTGTCTTCAATCATATAGGTACGTCTGGGATGAAGGGAAGGAAAAGGTGGTCTTCAGAAGCATCTGAGAAGTTTATAGTATTATTTACAGAACACTTTAAACAATTAGGAGGCAAAGCAGTGCAGAGATAAAAAAGGCATAAGATAATTGGCATTATGAAAACATTAGTAAGTCTCAGTTTCATGAAATACACATTAAATATAATAGATATTTTGAAACAAGAAATGTCTTAAATAGTTTCTTAAATATGATTACCAAAAACATGACAATACAAAAAGAAAGAAAGAAAGAAAGAAAAAATCTCCCAAAAGCGAATTTCACGCGCATTTCTCTTCTCTCCGACATGTTTACAAAATAACGGTGGTGATAGAATAGTGAGTACGACAGTTTTTTCTGAACATTATTGTCGTGCCGTCTGGCAGCGGAGAGTGTCGTCTTCGCTATGGACACGGTGGATAGGATTAGACTAAATGCGGTATTAAGAGTTAAGGACGCTACAGAAGACGTCCATATATGTCTATATATTCATCTATCAATTTGTCTGCCTTTCTGTCTGTCTATGCGTCTTACCAATTTTCCTCAATCCCCCCCCGACACACACACACACACAGATACACATATAATGTGTGTGTGTGTGAGTATCCATCTGTCTATCTATTCATATATGCCAGTGAAATGTTTATACACCACACACACACACACACACACACACACACACACACACACACACACACACACACACACACACACACACACACACACACACACACACACACACACACACACACAGATATATATATACACACATACACACACACACACATATATATATATATATATATATATATATATATATATATATATATATATATATATATATATATACATGTGTTTGTGTGTGTGTGTGTGTGTGTGTGAGTGAGTATCCATCTGTCTATCTATTCATATATCCCAGTGAAATGTTTGGTAATTTTCTATATTACCTTCGCCTCTCCGATATCGA